TTCTCTCCTTCCCTTACTCTTGCTTCACTCTCACTTCGCGTTGATGATGTCCGTTTATTTCCAGGCCCGCCTCCGCCACCAGGCAAGCCGTCTGTCGAGCAGAAGAAAGTGAGCACGGGAAAATCGAGTTAGCTTGGGTCTTAGCTCCCCCTCTGAGCAGTCGGCTTGGGATTTGAGATTGGAAAGGCGACCAACTGGAATACTACTGTCTCTTGTGGCAGGCTGAAAGGTCGTGGCTCTGATCTGCGTCCATTTTCTTGGCCAACTCTTCGGCCATCTGTGTTCCTCAAGTGAACGGATGGCTGGAGTTGTGTCCTCGTCTTCGAGGCTGCTTGAGCCCATTGGGCCAAGCCCGGCTTCTAGCCCGTTCTAATAGACAGTGCAGGTCCTTGACTCACAACCACTGGCCTGTATGAGGTAGCATGTGCTCCAATTGCCTCGGACAGTCGACAATGTGGTGGTGTCCATTGTCCGAATCACTTGAGCAAGACGATAGAAAAAATACGTGCGTGCATGTCTGCACATGGACACACAGACAATCGGATAGGGGGGTAAAAGGGAGGCTAGAGCAGAAATATAGCAAGGAAGACGTACAGACAGCAGAAAGGTTTGGAGATGGGTAAAAGACAACATATAGACAGACAGATAGATTGTTTGATGAATATATAGATGGGCCGATAGATAGATAGATGGATAGGTGAGCATACAGACAGACGGGCGAGTGAACAAATCGTGGATAGACATGTGGAGCGATAGATGACGGACAGATCAAGGAGATGTATACGCGCAAACTGACTAGTTAATTAGACAGAATAGATGGATGAAGGAAAGGAAGGTAGGCTTGCCGACAAGTGGATTGGTCTCACGATTCCGTTGGGTGGCGAACCCCTGGAAGGGGGATAATTTAATTTTATCCCTACGGCCATGTGGGCCAGGCTCAAGTCCCAGTTCACTGACCAATCACCACCGGCGACAGACCAACTCGGCAAACCCACGTACGGCTGTAGGCAGACGTCTCCATTTCCACACCCATGCCTGCTTGCCATTCAGCTTGTGCTTGGGCTTGTGGGCAGAGGATTAACAACAACATTGGCACACGTCTTTCAGGCACGCGGATGGGCGCCTCGGGTGTGTGAAGATAAAGCTTCCATGTCTTCTCGAGACGGGAGAATTGCATGAGCCGGCGTAACTGCATCCTTTCCCGTGGTAAGTCTGAGTTATGGTATTTGTTGAGTTGCTGAGTCGTTAAAACGGTTGACATAGTGCCTCATTAGTCACTTTTGCATAGCAGGTTCTCTCAAATATGCTATGCCGAAAATTATTCTGGGTTAATGGGCTAGTAGAAAAGTTGGTTGGTTGTGTTCACACCCAAGCCTCCTTTCACAAGTTCAGGCAGTGTTCATCGTCGCAGAAGTTTGCGACGAGAGCCGTGGCTTGCCCGTCTGAAGTTGCATCACCTCGTCATGACGACACACCAGAGCCTCTTTGGCCTGCTTCCCAGTCTCTGCTTGCCAACGAGACCACTCTGGGCAGAAGGTATCTCTACATGTGGCAAAGGAAGCGCAAATTAACCCAATTTGTGGGGAGTCCTGGCTTTTAAACTGCTTAAACACAGGTCCTCTTGCCGTCTGCGTTGTGGAAAAGCTACCATGTCCATCGTTCATGGGTTGACTCGCCAAGAATACCCATTATGATTCGAAACAAAGAGAATTGGACTCAAAATTGCATATTTTCGTGGCTACAAGCCAGACGGTTGGACGCCCTGCAGTCCCTATTGTTGTCCGACCTGATGTGTTGTCAAATGAAAACCGAATATGTGCATACTTTCAAAGAGTGGACCAACCTCTAACAGAACAGAGTCATAAGAGGGTTTAACATAATCGTATAGTAGATCCAAATTTCGAAGCTTCTGTTTCTTTCATTTTCTAAGTATTCATAGTACAATCGGAAGATTAGTTTCCATATTCAAATTGAAAATGTTGGTGATTTTCAGAAAAAATGTTAATATCCCTTTTAAAATTCCGAATTGATGGTAGATATTGAGACCAAATTAATGTTGACGACCGGCCTTGTTTTGGAAACTCGGTTGATCTAGCAAGAATACTTCAATTATAATGGCCTGTACTGCATCCTCTGCCATTAACGTCATGCCTTTCTCCACCAATGGACCGTTTACTGGAAACATTTCTGAATGTGATGTCCACATCGTAGTCGACCCTATCAGAAACCACCAAATTAACAAGTCAGATCCATCTTTTAAAACTATGTTCGCCGTGGTATAGTTCCTATCTCATAGAACTACAACTCTATTCCTTGCTCATATCTCACATGGAGCCATGTTTCTTCTCGGCCCACATGTCTGCCTAAGTATACCCCGATGCGTGTACATTTAAATCAGTTTATTAGGAATTAGAGAACTTCATCACCGGGCCTCATGACCCAAATTGGTACCTCCACTCAGCTATCCACTCAACCCAACTTAATTCTCTCGGTATAAGTCACCATCCATTGTGCTCTATCCGCTAGTAACGTGACCTACCTCGAATGTATGATTGCACCAGTACGATATACCTTTCGATGAAGGCTTCCCAAACCGTGTTCCGCCGACCTCTTCGCAGCATTATGATTTTACACCTACCTATTCCACCCTATGGCCATATCCTCACTCCAGTAAGATACACGACCCTTTTCATTTCCCCACTTCTGCTTTAAATGCAACCCTCCTATCGGATACTCTCTTCCAGTTCAATCAAGCTCAGACGTTTGCTTCCAATCTACTCAGATCGGCGTGTGTTCTTGAAATGGTAAAGTTATGGTCAGGCATTGACTTCGCTCACCAGTCCAGGATGGATAGAGTGAACTGCATGCCATCAGAGACCAGACCATAAACCTCTGCTGCCCCATTCGAATGGATTTGTGGAGAATCTGAATCAAAACCTTAGCACTCATAATAGAGCCCGCTTAGGTTGTGCGACAAAGGAATCAAGCCCACACCTTTACGGAGATGGTGTCTGAACTTGGCCCCAGTCTTTGCTATCGCCTTCCATTCATTTCGATTTATCTCTCGAGAAACTCCTTCTGACGATGTATCATTCATTTTATGTCCTCGACCCAGACACCGCCTTTTTGCTGATCTTGCTGATTCTAGGCTTGCCGAATTCTTCATCCAACTTGTTCCTGTAGGCGTTAGCCAAATGTTTTTTGTGAATCACTTAGTAACCCACCAACGCCTCCCTTACTGTCTGACCCACCCATGCTTTCCGTCACACTCATCATTTACTAACTTATTCGCAAACTTACACACACCCTTACATACAGATGCATTCAAATACACACAGACAGACATAAATTCTTATCATACTTCTATCAGAGACATGTCTAATTGCTCATTAGCTAAATCATACACCAAATAATAGAGCTGAAAATCACTCTTGAAATAAAAATTTTACTTGCATCTATTAATCTTAGCACACAATTTCACTCAGGCATCAAACAATTCTATCAGTTAAACGCAAATTTACTCACCATCATGCATGCAATACCAAGCAGACAAACGAACTGATGCACGCTTAAACAGTTTGCCATATAATCACTTGCTCATAGGAGTTATGATTACACATTAATGAATAACACCACAAATGTAGTCTAGCAATTCATCAAAAAGTGCCGATTAACTCAATCAGGATCTAGACACAACTCAAACTGATTATTTAATTTCTCCACTTGGTCTTTTACTCATTCAAAGAATTTTCACAATTTTCCACATATCTTAATAGGAGGGATAGTTTAATTTTTCCACAATTATATGAATAGGCTTCAAAATTCCAATTAATTTCCCTTAAACTTACTTCCCAAAGGCACTCTTATCCAGGCTGGGCTACAAAATGTGATATTATAAAGGCCAGGGCAGCCGTGACATTTTCATCTGCCCTCTGACCCATTGGCACACTTGGCCGTGTGGCGTAGTGGTGCTATGTCGAGATTTTATTTTACACTGGCCGAGTTCGATTCCCATTGGGGATGTTATGACATGCATAAAAGGCTAAAACGGCGGTCCAATACAGCCGGAATGAGAATACCCTCTGAGAGGCTATAATACTCACATGATTGTGGAAAAAGGCACCTTGTGCGACCTAGAACGAATAAGGCTTTTATTCAATTACTATCTCTGAAACACTTCCTAATTCTTTCTATTATTCACAAAGTAAAAATCCATTCGCAACTTAGTGCACATTTTCAAACTATCTTTTTCCACAAAACCACATTTTCTTAGTTAGTGACGCTAACAATGGAAATCAAACGCCGTTTCCTGGTGGGCTCGACTTATGAATCTCTTTTTTTTGTTTATAAAGAGAGCTTCAAGACTATTAGTAGATCAGTTGATGTATTCACCCTATTTCGTTTAAGGTAATAAAGGACTGGTAACTGAATTTTCCCACAATGATATGAGTAGAGCTGACGAAATAGGATGAAAACATCTCATATTACGAATCTCTTACTCAAACACTTTCATACGAAATGTGACGGTTTGCTTATCCGTCTACCCAGCTCCCTGACTGCCAGGCCCCCAAAGTTGTAGTGGTTTATTCGAAATGGGCATCACTCACTGACAAACGTCTTCGCTTTATTGCAGAATACCCCTTCTTCCCATTTTCTTTCTCGCAATCCCTTTTCCTGCTGTTAGTGGTAGATCCTTGATCCAGGCGTCTCCTTTTCGCTGGTTTTGCTTCATTCTTGTTTTACCCGAGTTTGCTTATGCAGTAGGCAAAGTTATCGCTAACTCTACCTTTCTCCGATCGCCTGTTCATTAAATTGTTCTCCGCAAGGATGTCAACGGTCTCCCTAATCTTGCGCTTCCTTGTGTTATCCCCGTATGGAGCTCTTCTTTCTGTTGCCTTCCAATTAATCTCGTGTTTAGTCTGTGCGATGTGTTCAGCTAGTTCTGATCTTTCGGTGTCCATTTTCCTGCAGAGGCTCTGATGTTTCTTGATTCGTGTGCTAATTTTTCTCCCTGTTTCGCCAATATATTTCTGATTGCAGGCGC